CCTCCTACTTCTGCTTTGGGGCACGGGAAGAAGTTTAGAAATGAGGTCTCTGTTTACCATTCTTTAGTATCCGGGCAAGCCTAATATGTCAGCATAGAGAGGGGATGGCCCTGGTCCGGTCACCCTTAAGCCCCAGATATCAAGTGACTCACCAGAGCCATCAAATTATCCCTTGTTCTTGATGAAAAAAACAAAACAAAACACTATAGCTACCAGAGGCCACCTCCCAGCTCCCCCTCAGTGGGGCCACCTCCCCTTCCTGGCCTCCTCCTGCCTCACAAAAGAAAAGCTAGTGCCTCTTCCCTATCCAGCTTTGCCTTCTATACCTCTTGATACCCCCTGGTCTGTAGCCCAGATACCAAACATAGCACCAGAAGGTCTTAACCCTGAGTTCAAGTCCTCCCTCCACTGTGCCACCTTGGGAAGGTCTACATGGTTTATGGGGCCTCTATTGCTATCTGTATGATGGGCACAGGGTTTCACTTGAAGATAGAGGCTGGGCCTGGGGGCCTCCCCCGCTAAGAGATCTGAGAGTCTCCCGTTGCTGACTCTGCCTTTGACTGGAAGATCTGAGAGGGCAGGTTTAGGGTGATGCAGGGCTTTGAGGAGCATGGATGAGAAAGGACTTGGCGAGGAAAGTTAGACTGGATAGGCTACCATGGAAACGAAGGCACAGGAGGAGGAGGGGTTAGCAGAACAAGGTCAGGAGCCAGATCAGAGGCTGGCAGAGGAGGCAAAGCTCTGGGGTGGAAGGTTTTAAAAGTTTGCTGGGCTCAGTGAAGGGGGTGCTGAGGTTCTCTTGGTGGGTGCAGGGGGCAGTTCCTGCTCCCCTGGGCAGAAGGGAGCTTCTTTTGTAGTCTAGGGATCCAGGCAATTCGATCAGGCCAGATAACACCCAAGATCGATACGCCCCACTGGCTTAGAGGTAGTAATTCTTCATCCAGCGCCCCATACATCTATCTGTCTTTGCTAAGATGGGGTCTTCAGGGTCTGTCTGGGCCACTGATTAGTATAGATGGGAAGTCTAGCTTATGCCTGACTCGGCTCCTCTGTCTTCATGTTGGCTCCATCCCTGGAATGTCACCCTCTGCCCACTGGAAAACTACTAGGTTCTGTTACCACCTGGAAACCTTCTGACTCCTTATGAGAAGGTCCACTATCCTCTTGTCTCCTCCCCACCAAGCAAGAGAGCTTCTTGACCTTTGTCCTTTTCTGGATAGATCAAGAGTTTTAATGTCAGGCAGATTTTTTTCTCCCTTAGGATAAACTCTCTGAGCCTCAGTTTTTGTAGCCTGAAAGGGGGGGGGGTGAGTAGTAACTCCTGAAGGAATATTGCGCGATTAGGTGAAATCAGGATTGTAAAATACTTAGCTCTCGGGCCTTGTATGTAGTGACTGTTGAAACATTGGTAGCATTTATCTCCTCCTCTGTAGATCTGCCTGTAGACTTGCCAGTCCCCTTCCACGGCCTTCACAATGTGCAGAATGACGCTCCAGGGTAATTTGGCCAGAGCCTACAGAACCTCATTCCTTGGTCCAGAATAGCTTTCACTAGAAATGAAAACCCTTTCCTGACTTTGTTTCTGTCCATCAGCCCATTGGCTTTTGAAGGGTGAGCATTGGATCTTACTTGCCAGTTGGTCCATAACTGATAATACATAGTGTGTATTTGCTGAGTGAATGAATGGTGAAGATTTGAGGTTTTTCTCCCTGCTTTTAATAATAGAATTTTCTAGTCAAATGATATCTTTTGCAATGTCCTAATGAGTAAATCTGAGACAAGATGCCTCTCAGTTTCTGCTCTATAGAAGGAGTACTTCCCCCCCCCACTCACAGAGGCCCTAGGCACTGGTCTTGGGACAATATAGGGGGAGCAAGCTCAGATATAGGCCATCACTGCATCTACTGAGGAGAGGGTATCAGGATCCAGATAAGCTGACTGGAAAAACCCATCAGTGTGTGGTATTGGGAATGCTCAGACAAGGTCTTGCTGTATATCCCAGGCTGGCCTCAAACTCACAATCCCAGCCTCCTGAATGCTGGCATTTCAGGCATAGACCACCATATCCAGCTCTATTTCATGTTTGCCATTGCACACTTGAAGTACTCCCAGCTCCCTAAGTTCCAGCTCAGCCTGTCTATACTGGGTGACCATGCTGTGTGTGTCCCACAGTCCTGTTTGCAGAGAGTGACAGGAATTTGGTTCCATTCATGAATCCCACATGATGTTAGGTCTCAGAGGACCAGGGCAAGCCTCGTACTGGTCTCAAGCCCTGGTGGATATAGATGCTGCTCCCTGCCCTGCTGCCTCCTCCCTCTTCCCACACAAGCCCCACACCAGATGGCAGAGTGACCTTTTCCAAACGCATGGCTGTTCTCGTTGTTGCCGCTCTGCTGAAACCTGTCTAGGGTTCCCCATGGTTCTCAGGAAAAATGACCTTGTCACCTAGTCCTCCAGGGCTTCCAAGGTGACAAGGTCATTTTTCTGCCCACAGCAGATTCCCCAAGACCCTTCCTGCTGAACAAGCTCTAGCAAAACCTGCCTGGCTTCTCTGCTAGGCAGTCCCAGGGCCTTTGAACACTTGTGCTCACACACTGAAACACTTTCCCCTCAACCTACCTTTATGACACATGGACATTAGCCATCAGATCTTGTCCCTATTGCTTTACAGAGACACCTGTCCCAAGGTCCCCACCCCCCACCCCTATTTAGAGTACCTTTCTAGGATTATATGTTTGTTACTATGTTTCTTTTTGGACTGTAGCTCCACAAGAGCCAGGATCCACATCTCTTCTTACCAGGTTAGCATCTGGTACATAGTAGGTGCTCCACAACATGGACAGAATGATGGAGTTAGTTGCTGAGATGCATCCAGGAGAAGCTAGGACAAGCAGAAATAAGGCCCCAGTAGGGGGCAGTGCTCTGAGGCTCAGAGGAGAGGCACACTCCAAAAACAGGGACTCACTGTGTACCTGAAGCCTCAGAGAGCTTCTTGGAAGAGGTATTCTTGGTGCTGGGTGGGCAAGAAGGGACATTCTAAGTAGGAGCAGGCGGCAGGAGGGGGGCTGGTGTCCAGGCACTGGGCCCAGCCAGGTATCTTAAAAGGCAGGTGCATCGAGGGGCCTCCCAAGTAGCTTTTGCCATGGTTTTCTCATCTGTAAAATGGGCATAAAATAAGCCCACGTAAGAGGACTGAGCAAGTCCATGTGTGCCACATGCTTAGAACTGCTTGTATTGCTATTGTTATATGTGTGATGCAGCATCCTCTTAGTCCTATGCATAGGCCTCCCACCCCTAAAGGTAGATCTGTGGTGTCTAAGTGTACCCATGCTGTGATTTCAGGAGCCTCTGCCAAGGAGGGGGGCTTTGCATAGAATGGAGCCACTGTCTTGTCCCTAATCAGCATATGGGGCTCTCAGCATATCCACTAACTTCCCTCTCCTCTTTCCCCGTCCCTCAGACCTCATCCTGTGTATGTGTGTGTGTGGGGGGGGCAGAGGGGATGGCCCAGGCTGCTGAGTTCCATTGACTAGGAGGCAGCCTCTGCCTTTTCCATATTTCCTTCTCTAGGCCCAAACCCTCTACCTTCCACCCAGACCTTTCCTGAGGAATGCAGATCCCTAAGCGTGAGAGCCAAGGCAGAGCTTGGGAGCCAGGAGCTGTGCTGTTGTCCTAAGAGAAGCCCTTGTCCTGTGGAGGGCTGCAGTGGACAGCAAGAACATTCCATAGACCTGGGCTGGAGTCCTGGCTCTGCTCCACTCTACGGGGGAGCCTCAGGCAACCTTCTTAGTCTTTCAGAACTTCCACCTTCTTTTCAGTAAAATGGGTATGCTAGAAGCCCCAACCACCTAGATTAACAGGCAGGTAGCACTCAAAGTGCTCAGTGCTCAGTAAGCATCCTGTGTCTAGCACTGCCCTTTTGATGATGATCTGGGCTTCCAAGCACGCTTACTTAGGTCTGCAGAGGCCTGTCTTCCTTACTTCACAGGACTACTCTCTCTGTACCTTTCCTCTCCCCAAAGTGTGGGATGTTGAGTTCTGCACTTTAAGATGTCTCCAGAATCTGCAGTCTGTGGGAGAAGACACGTGATAAGTACTTCTGGTAGGCAGGTGGCTAAGTGCGCACCGTGGCGGGTGCTTGCGAGCTTCTGTCGGCATCACCATGTGGCATGAGGTTGTTGTGCAGTGCAGGTCTCTGTTGCTGTGTGGGGTGTGGGGTGGGGGAGATTTGAACATGATTAAAGGAACGGTTTGGTGCCGGGATTACTGCCTGGATGTGGTCTGCACCCCAGTCCGGTCACTTTCTAGGAGAGTGACCTCTCTTTGCCTTGGTTGTCTCATCACAAAGGCAGTAATACAAATGGCACCTGTTGATGTAGCAGTCATCCTGACCTCGTCCACCATTCAGCCTGGAAGGACGGAAGGAGTTAATCCTCGCACAGTACTTGGAACAGAGCCTGGAAGGGATGGCAGTGGTGTTAGTTAGCTATTTGTTCATAAACCCCTTGGCTTCCCTGGTGGACCCTTTGAGAATAGGGGCAATGTCTGTCTTTCTCACTTACCTGTCCTTGTCTGGCCCCAGGTCTGCCTAGTGGACTGTGAAGAGTGAATGGGGACCTCAGTGATAGGTGAGAGTGTGTGTGTGTGTGTGTGTGTGTGTGTGTGTGTAAGAGAGAGAGAGAGAGAGAGCGCACGCACGCGTATGCACACGCTCTGCTGGGGCATCTCCAGCACTTTCTGAAGCTCGGCTATTTCAGGAAGCCTCCAGTCTCCTCCTCCTTATGTAAATAAACATGACAGATCCCATCGCCTGTACCAGCGCGGGTGGGGGAGGCTCCGGCGGGTGGGAGCTGCGCGGCAGCGAGCAGGGCCAGGGGGGTGTGCGTGCGTGCGTGTGTGTGGCCGGCTGGCGTGCAGGGGGTGGGGTACAGGAGGGGCCCTGCCATGCCTGGGGGCTGAAGAGGAGGACCAGGGGGAGGAGGAGAGGAGCTGGCGGCGGGGGCAGCTCGGTGACCAGGCCAGCCACTCGGAGGTGGCCGCGCCGCCTGCAGCCTGCGATGGGGGGACAGATCACCCGGAGCAACCTCCATGGTAAGGACTCCACTGATGTCTGGGGGTCTGCCCACCCCTCCAGCATGGGGGAACCACCTGGGAGACTTGGGGTGGGGGGTGCTGGGACTGAGGCTGGGTCCTTCCTCCTGTCCCCTCACTCCATGGGCTCTGAGGCTGTGACAGGAAGGTGGCTTTGGGTGGTCAGCACTGGAGTGAAGGAAGCCAGGTCTGGAAAAGCTGGAAGGCAGGTGGCTGAGTCTCCCTCCAGAGTGTCCTTGTCTGCTTCCCAGGGTGTGTGCAGGCCCCTCCCCCCTGCCCCCCCCCCGTGGGATATGGTATCCCCAGTGTCCCTATCCACCTCTCCCGGGGACTGAAGCAAAGCACAGTTGGACAGTAGGGAACTATGTGGGCTGTGGAGCCGGCACTGTGATCCATGGTGGAGCTGGGGAGAAATGTGTGGTTACCCTGTGTGAGTGTGTGCGCGTGGAAGCTCTCTGTGCTTGTGTACCTTAGCACACAGGTGTGCTAGGGATGGCCCCACAGTATCCTGCTGAGCTTCTCTGAGTGTGTGTTCTGCAGGGGAGGATAACAAACTTTGAGCCCTGGGCTCCACTCAGCAGCCAGGCAGAGAGGGGGGACCGGAAGGCAGGGGGCTGCTTGGCTCCCTATCTGCTGGGCTTCTGCCTGCTTGGACGCTGATTTTCCCTCTGGCTTTTGGGCTGTGGCCTTGAGAGCAGCATGGCAGATGTGGCCTCAGACCCTTCTTAAGGAAGGAAGCCTTCCTTAGGCCTAAAAACTGGATTCCTGGAGGGGCTGGCCGGTGCCAGCCATGGAGAGTCCCACCATACTCCCCCAGAACTCCTCCTTGGGTAGGGTATTAGGAAGTGACTGACCTCCATCTGTTGAGAGTACTGGACACCAGAGGGGCCCATGAGAGGCCCAGGTAGCTCTCATCTTTAGGAGAATAATTTAGGAGAAAAATTTCTAATTTAAAAAAGAAAAAAAAAAGTAGGGGAAAGTAAGTCATTGGCTCTCTTAAAAGGAAATGAATTTTGTTTTGGGCCTAGAGGGGCCAGATGACAGATGGGAGGCCTTGAAAGACACATAATCCCATCAGCCAGGACAGGGCCAGTGGCCGAGGCCTTGGCCTGACCCTGGGGTTGGGTTGACTTGGGCCTGGCCTGCCAGGCTGTGGGGTGGCAGCTCTTCTCAGGGCTCACTGGCCCAACGGGACCTGTTGGCAGAGGCCATGGAGCTGACTGACATTTTCCACTGGAGTCAGACTCCGGCTAGCTCACAGCCTGGGAAGGACAGAAAGGCCTCCAGAGCAGGTTTGGGGGGACAGCTCTGGCTCCTCCACCCGCCTTCTAGCCCTGAGAGTGTGGGGCTTAGAGTAATAGACGTGTGTTGTGATAAGGGCAGAGGCTGGTCCGAATCTTGGTTTTCTTATCTGTCAATGGGGTGAACAACAGCAGCCTCCTCATAATGTCCTCATGCTGTGAGGACCGTGTTGGAGCAGAGAACACGGGGAACGTTGAGAGGGCTTGGACAGGGATGCTGAGCCTAAAGTCGGGTCCTTCCCTCCCAGCTTCCATTTCACTGGGTATGAGAGGATAGTTGGGTGAGCATCCAAGCTGGACCACTATTGGGGAGGTCAATCAAATGCCCTCCTTACCCGTCTTTCCTGAGCTGCCCCAGTCGCTGCTTCAGCTGCTTGCTGTCTACAGGAGCAGATGGGGAGGTGTGAGCCTGCACACCCCCAACCCCAGCTCACCTCCCATTCCCATGTCCTCACCATCCATACCCATGAGGGCATACTTGTGCCTCTACACGGGCCACCCTGCTGGCTCCATTTCCACTCTAAGAGGTGCTGGCTGCTTTCTAGGGGGGCTTTGAGCTCTCAGGGACACCCCCAGAGCACAGTCAAGTGGGTTTTCAATTGCATTTTTACTGTGTGGTCTTCAGCTTTTGGTTTCTTTCACGCAGGAAGATTTTGAATGGCTAGGTTTGGTGGGGGAAGGTGGAAGGTGGCAGGGACTGACCAGGGAAGGGGGGGATGGGGGAGGAAGGGGGGAAAAGAGAGAGAATCACCTAGTTCTGGGCAGAGAGCTGTGTTTTGGGTCTCTGTATTTTTGCTATCTACAGATGGTGTAGCTGTGTTTTGAGTCTCTGCTTGTGGACCTGTGCTGTGTGTGTGTGTGTGTGTGTGTGTGTGTGTGTGTGTGTGTGCATATTGAATGGATTGGGTATTGTCCTGCCTGTGTTTCCATGTGAACAGCCACATTGGTGGCATACTCCACGCCCACAACAAGCGTGTGTGTGTGTGTGTGTGTGTGTGTGTGTGTGTGAGAGAGAGAGAGAGAGAGAGATCTGTTGTGCTGGGGCTGTGGTGCAGGCTCCTCTGGGATCAGCCTGGCCGGGGACTGGTTGGAGAAATGAATCTCCATTTGGAAAATGGTGTCAGCAGTTACATGCTTGATCTCTCTCATCAGGCAGGTTTCCAGAACTGCTTCCTATGGGCCACTCCAGGGCAAGCTGGCAGGGTGGGGACACGGGGAGGCAGCCGTGACACTGCTGAAAAGCCTCTTCTCCCCCTCCCCTCCCCTGCTTGCTTTCTTCTTCCTCTTCCTTCCCTTTCAGCTCCATCTTCCTTCAGAGCTTCCTCCCAAGCTGAGGGCCCCTCGGCTGAGGGGATGACGCATTGGCGACCCACAGACAAGCACCCAGACAGACTTGCCCCCTCCAGTTGGATCTCTGGACTTTACCCATCGGAGTATTGTGCTAGGATTAAGGGACCTGAGAGATTGGTTCCCCCAGTCACAGAGGGGGACACACTGTAGCTTTGACAGGGAAGTATGTGGCTGAAGTCATGTGACTGGTGCCTATCAGAGTGACCCCTCGCTTCTCCTTCTTAGCTTCCTCAATCCTCAACCAGAAGTGGGGGAGGGGTGTCCCATGGCCTCCTGGAGTCACCTGTCTCTCAGAAGCAGTCCTGGCGGCTTAGGCCACAAGGAGTTCCCAAAGCCTGAGATGTCTGTGTCCTTTCCTGCATAGCTGTACCCTACCTAGATCTTCAGGCTAGGTTAGCAGGCTGATCCAGCTTCACCCAGCTCAGTGCCTGGCACTCGGTATGTAACAGTAGGGCTTTACCAGTGACAAGCAGGAAGGAGTGTGGCACATAGACCCATGTTGGAGCTGAAGGAGGTGTAGAGGATGTCAAGGCTCCGAGGTTAGGTGACCCAGCCAGGCATCGTGGTGATGAGACCCAGCCCCGTGTAGAGAAAGAGGAGGTGAGGCAGAGGCCTCAGTGAGAGTGGGGGTGCTGCTGAGCTCCTGCTGGCTGGTGCCCAGGGGACTAGGCCTTCACCGGTCAGTCACAGCATCTACAGGTGCATGCTGGGGATAAGCCTGACCATAGAGTTGGAGCAACCATCAAACGGGCTGAGCTAGCTGTTCAGTGGGCAACACACATAGCATGCTCTTAGTGGAGTGGGCTTTTGTAAAATGCTTCTGCAGGTCTGCATGTGCTTGCTAGAGGGCACCTGGCTGTCCCCAAACCCTCAGCCCTGGCTGGGGCCCAGGACGGTGGTCTCTGGGTAACTTCTGTCATTAGGCACACTCACCAACCACTCTAAAAGTGAATAGTTGTATCTAGCCCACATGGAGGAGGAAGGGGGTTACGTGAGGCAGATGGGACACTGTGGCCCAGGTTAGAGGTCCTCGCAGACTGTGACGGATACCCAGCTTGCAGAGATTAGGAGGTAAGGTTGGATACGAAGGCAGTCAACCTGGGTTATATACACATGAAGGGAAGAAGGAAGGAAGGAAGGAGAAAATGAGTGAAGAGAGAGAAAGGAGAAAAAGAAAGAGGGGAGGGAGATAGGAAAGGAAAGAAAAGGGAGAAGAGAAAATGGGAGGGAAGGGAAAGAGAAGGAATGAGACTCAACTGTCACAGACTTCCTTTCTCCTTTCCTCATAGGGAATGGGGAGCTGATCGTCGGTGTGTGTGGTTTTGTGGAAGGGGGGGCATGGTGGCTCTCTGAGTGGTGCAGGGCTTGACCTGTCCTATGCTGCCCCTCACTCTCTCAGGACTGACTTAAGGGCATTTGGGGGGAGTGCTTGGAGGACAGGAACAGGAACTGCAAATGGAGTCATCTGGAATCCCCGTCTAAAACCTTGAGGTGAGTGAGACAGGAGGAGAAGGGCTGGCCACCTCTGCATGCACATCTGGCTATTGGGAATGTCAGAGTGGTGAGTCAGAGTGGGTGAGGGGGCATTGGCTTGGATTATAGATGAACTCGGCCATGAAGGTGTCTATTCCCAGCCACTGTCCTTCCTCTGTCTTGTCATCAGGTCCATTCAGTCCTCTAAGCAGCCACAGAGCCTCGTGTACTCAGGGTACTCTGAGATTACAGGATACTAACATAGCTCCTGATGTGAGGCCATCTACAACAAAGGAGTATGTGAAGGGTTGACAGGTCGTGAAGAAACTGGATCAGGTAGAATGGAGGGCAGGGGAGAGGAGGCTGAGCACACTGGCTCCCTAGCTGGGCTTACTGGGAAATCTATTCAGCATGGCAGGTCTAGGCTAAGAGCTCATCTCCCCCATTTATCACTTATATGACCTTTTTTAAGACAGTAGTTTTCAGCCTCTGTTTCCTAATCTCTGAAATAAGACTACTGCTATACTCTCTCTCTCTCTCTCTCTCTCTCTCTCTCTCTCTCTCTCTCTCTCTCCATCATGGGGCTTGAACTCAGGGCCTGGGTTCTGCTCCGAGCTCTCTTGCTCAAGGCTAGTGCTCTACCATGCTGAGCCACAGTGCCATTTCTGGTTTGCTGATGGTTCATTGGAGATCAGAGTCTCATGGACTTTCCTGTGAGCGTTAGCTTTAAACTGTGATCCTCAGATCTCAGACTCCGGAGTGGTTAAGATTAAGGTATGAGCCACCAGTGCCTGGCTATTAATTATCTATTGCTGTATAACAAATTACCCCAAGCCACTTGAAACAAAATTTAATCATCTTAAGTTTCTGTGGTCA